TAAGGCCAAGAGATTAAAAGGGTGAAGATGAGGAAACAACAGTTAGGGGCAAAAACACGAGTAGGGGACAGAAAGGCCAAGCAAACTGCTGACAAACACACAAATACCCCACTTGCAGTTCGTGGGAAGCACTCCCAGCCTTGTCTCTGCTCATAAGCACATTGACCAGCTACCTGGGTAACACAAGAAGAAAGGAAGCAACACCTTGGGAGTCCTGGTGATGCTGAAAGCCAGGAAGAAGCCCAACACCAAAGGCAGCTCGGCCAGTGCTTCTGGAGACCAGCACTCAAAATTCTAAGTGAAGGCAGGTGGGACGAGCGTGTACAACCTGAGTGGGTAACAGCTCACAAAACGAAGGCACAAAATGACCTCCCGCATCGCCCAGTGAGCGACAGCCCAGCATCAGTTATGGGCATTAACATGTTAAAATATCAGCACCTCCCTGTGCCGTGCTTCGATTTATTTTGTCAGTCACAAGTCTTTAACGTCCATACTAACTCAGCACCACGCACAGATAAATTGTCCTCCTCTTCCACTGTTAGTAACTCATAAACCCATTTCTAATTGCTAAAACCAGAGGGGAAGAAGTGAAGACAGGCTCGAGACCACACAACGGAAAAGAATTAACCAGTCTGATATCTACTGGTGGGAAAGGGGAATGCTGTATTTCCTCAGCCATACCCGAAGCCTCTGCACTGCTCACAGAGGGATGTGCTGGGCTGAGGTTTATTTATAAAACCTATAAGAATGTTGACCTAAGGCTATAACTTGAAGAAAAATAAGCAGAGGTCAGATTTTCTAAATGCAGCCACAAGCCCAAGAGAGAAGCTTACCAGTAAGAGCCTCAGCTGCTGGAGGGATGCAGAGCTCAGGGGAGGCTCCGGTCCTGCTGAGCTGCCAGGAAAGCCAAGCAAACCAGGAGCCATCCCCTGGTCTAAGGGCAGCCCATGCAGCAGCTTTCTGTTCCAGCCGCAGAGGCAAGGCAGGGACTGGGGGGGAGTTTGAGGTGCCTGCACGAGGCTGAGGGGGATTCCCAGCACCTCCCTGTGCTGGCAGAGTTAACCAGTCTTCCCAGGCTCTTGGGGTTTTTTGTCTTTTTAAATAGTGAAGAGAGAGAGGCTCCTACAAGTGGTGAGATACAGAGCAGGGCCTTTGTCTAAGTGCTCTGAATAGTTCTTTGGAAGGGCCCATCCCCGCTGACAATTGAAGGAGCCTCTGGAGAATGCAGACAGCTAAAAGAGAGGATTAACTCTTTTGTGGCATCCACGTCAGGGCATCCATGTAAGAGAGAACCATTTGCTACTGGGGCTGTGGCTCGTTATCCAAACCTGCTCCCAAAAAAAGAGGGCAAAGCAGGTGCAGTAAGGAGCATGAGAGGAGGAAGAGCAAGGCTCCTCACAAAGCGGTCTGCGATCCAAATACTTGACCCACAAGCAGCTCAGTCGCGTGCATCCCTACTAATTTTTTAAGGAATACCATGAACTCCACCTGCATCTGTTTGGACCTGCCCACGGACCTCGTCACCCTAAGAAAAATTATCCAAGCCTGGCATGACGGGGGCACTGCTGGGAAGGGGGGGGGAGCAGGAGGTGAACACACACCTTTCACTGCAGGTGAAAATGGCGCTGGGACGTTCCCATCTCCACATGCAGAGTTTTAGAATCTCTCTCTGACATTGCTCCCACATGTATTTATTGTTTCGTTTTCCAGAGGGGGTGAAGGGGATGCCGGGCCTTCACTAAACACCCGCTTTAGCCTCGAGAACCGATCCATACTTTGGGATGCTGGCACAAACGCCCCATCTAGTGGCAATCGCAAAGGGAAAAGCTGTGAAACCCATAAAGTGCTGCCAAATAAATCACTCTTTACCAATTAAACAGGCTGCTGAAAGTAATGAAGGGCCAACATGACACACGAACGCTCTGGAGAAAGAAGACAAAGCTCTTGACTTTTCCTCGTGTCCTCAAAAGTCTGTCACACCTGTATGTCTTTTTGAGAGATGAAAATCAAGAGCTGGACCCAGGTAAAATTCCTGCATCTATAATATATAATATAACCGAACAAAAATACCCCAGCCCCAAACACCTCCCTGCCCAACACTTTTAAAAGCCAGAGTTAATTGGGAAGTTCATTTATTTACTGAATCTCACACAGGCAGATGAAGGATAAGACGGCCTTTGCAGGATCTCCGACATGAAAAAAAAGAACTTCCATCTATTAAATCATCAAAGACAAGGGATGAGCAATAACTCAGCTCTTCCCAAATTTAAGTGCAACTGCAGAATCCCAAATGGGAAGACTTTTAAATGCCTGATATTCAATAATCTTGAGTCCAGGACCCAAATTATTCCCTCCTTAGTTCTGAAAACCTTGGGCCAGACTTCGATAATGATTTCCATTGGGCTCAGCATCTCCATGTGAGAATGGATGCCCCAGGCACAAGAGCCACAGTCACCCAAAAGTTAAAACTCGAAATAACAATAGGAAAAAAAAAAAAAAGCCACAACCTCTCAGCAATTAAGTCCACTTATGAGTACGAAATGTCTGTGTCTTGCTACCTGTAGGATTACACGAGGAGCCAGACAACAGACTGTAAAGCGCTCATTTAGTGGCAAGTTGCCGCAAATGGCTTCAAATATGTGAAAATCGCTTTCTTTTTACTTATTTGTTCTGCCTGTCTGGGCTGCAGCGCTGCTACCCCAGCACAGACAAAACAGAAATGGAGGAGAAATTCCTCAGTCTGCACCTACAAAAGCCAGTGGTGCCCGAGCGCCTCACGAGCCACGGGGCACACGGCCCACCCCCCCAGACAGCCAGGCTATAAAATTCTCTTTATAATCCCTTGTTTCAGAGAGGAATAATCACGGTAGGAGTGATCTTTACTTAAGAAGAGCACAAAAGCAGCCCTGTCTTCGCATTTGGAGCCCGCCCTGGGCAGGGGAGGCAGAGCTCCCCTCACACCGCGTCCCGCAAATGGAAGTAAAGAAGGGACCATCACTTACCCCAGCCCATCGCTGCCAGCTGAATGCCGAGCCCACGGGCAGCCTCACGCCAGGAGCCATCCCTGGGCCAGGCACTGAGGGGTACAACACCCCCAGGATGAGGAGAGGGGGGGTTCCGGGGGCAGGAGCCCCTCCTGACCCCAGCGGGGCTGAGCGGGACCCGTCGGGGCTGTGGAGGAGCTCCCGGGCCTCATCAGCACAGACCAGCTGCGGGGACGGGCCGAGGGGAGGGCACCGACCCCCCAGCTGGGCCCAGGCCCCTGGATAACGCGAGATTCCCTGTGAAAAATGATGTACTGGCCCTTCAGGAACAGGCATAGCCGCTACTTGTCTCCAACCCACCCAGAAAACCCAGAGAATCCTTCTCAAAACCCCATCCCGGGGACAGGTTTCAGCCTGTACGGGACCCACCGCCAGCTTTCTAAGGAGACTCCATGTACCGGACCCCTACTCGGGCTATGGAAAATCAGAAAATCCAGATAAAACCACCAGTGTGAGGCACACAAAGAGAGTCAGGCTTTCAGAAACCCTTCCTATTTCCCTAATTGTGTGCACTGTGGAATTAATGGGAGTGCAGAGGTCAAACTCGATACCCAAAATTCAGCAGCTGGAGTTTTACATCTATGAATTGTTCACACATGCTCTAAACTGCAGCAGGCATTTAACAACTTTGCCAAGCAGAACAGAACCATACTCTATTTAAAACAAAAAACCCAGAGGAATTTGTTTCAGTTACACACAGTTACCAAGAGCTTCAAAATACAGCAATCCTTATGTACCTGCACTCCCCTTTGGGCACTGAATTGATTCCAAATCAGAGTCCAAATACCGTTCTTCAAAGAATAGCAAATGGTTTGGTGTTTAAAGATATCAGGAGCTACATGAAAAATGAGATGAAAAAACAACTTGAAACGTGACAGAACTGCAGCATCTTTAATGTGTTAACACCCTGTAAAAACAACCATAAAGCTAAATCTAACAGTATTTCACTGTTTATATCACATTGGTAGAATTTATAGATGACATTCAGAATCACTTCATAACTATAAAAAATATAAAATAACTATAAAACTGGATTTCAGTTGTACCTACTTTCAAGAAAAGCATCAAAATAAAGTACTTTTTGAAGCCACAACTCTTAGAAAATACTACTTATTAATATAACATGCAATAAGTGCTGCTCTTCACACAACAGTATTTGAATTCTTCTCTCCCTTCAAACGCGGTTCTTATTGGAAGCACATTTTGTTTCTGAACCCTTCTTTTGAGAGAAAAGCATAAAAACTACTCCCTCTGAAATCCAAAGGGAAAACAGTATTACATAGTAATTTATAAGAAACTTGTTAACAATGAACGTATGCAAACATACATAACCAGCAACAGTATAAAACAACCCGTATGAAAAATCCCACATAAATTCTAAATTCAATTCAAATACAAACCCACAAGATTTCCAGTATTAACCCAAATACCTTTGGGGTTTGCTGGTAAAAGACCTCCCCCCCCAAAAAAACCCCACAACATATATATTGCTTTTCCATAAACCTTGAAAGAAAAGCTTCAAAATAAAATAAGGACACTTGAAAAAAAATAACTTCCCTGCATGGACCGAGGAGTAGCACGTGTGTGACTCCTCCTCGTGTACTTTCAGAGGTCGCCCGGGTTCCGCAGCTCCCTCTCAGCCTGCCTGAAGGTTCAAACATCAAAACCCGTAATTCTTTCCCTGCCTGAAGATTCGAACAACAAAACCATAATGCCCCCCTTCCCCAAATTCAAACCGACTCAGCAGTGGAGAAGAGCAACTCATCCTCCTCGGAGCACAGAGGAGCGGGACAAGAGGCGCATCTCAAGTCACCGCAGCGGGGCACTTTTCACGCCGCTCTTCCTCCGGCGCTTCCCGGGAGGTTTGAAATCGCTTTCTCAGGAACCCAGCGGGTTTCAATCACTTTCTCGGGGATCCGGCGGAGATGCAGCAGCGCCCCGAGCCCGGCCGGGGGTTCACCTGAAGGAGGGCGACATCCCGGCGCCCGGCTCGCAGGGCATCCCCGCATCCAGCGGCCAGGCGGGGTAGCCCTGCGGCGGCCCCGGATACCCGGGGGGAGCCCAGCCGGGCATCTCCGGGCACAGGCACCCGCAGGGCAGGGTCAGCGCTGCCCAGGGTCCGTGCGAGCACCCTGGAGGGGCCGGGGGCGGTGACCAGTGCTCAGCAGGCAGCGGGTGCGGCGGGGCGGGCGGCGGTGGTGGCGGCGGTGACCAGGGCTCTGCGGGCGGCGGTGGTGGCGGAGGAGGACGAGATGCCGTCGGGAGGAGAGTGCGGCGCCGGCGCCGGCGGTAATCGCCCTCCGGGAACATGTCGCGGAAAGTGGGATCCAGCGCCCAGTCACCGCCTCGGCGGCCGCGGCGGGGCAGGCGTCGGAAGCAGGGGTTGAGGCTGAGGTTGTGGCGGACGCTGTTCTGCCAGCCCGGGGAGTCGCCGCGGTAGTAGGGGAAGCGCTCGGCGATGAAGGCGTAGATGCCGCTCAGGGGGAGCCGCTGCTCGGGGCTGGAGCGGATGGCCATGGTGATCAGCGCCACGTAGGAGTAGGGAGGCTTCTGCGGCTCGCCCGGGTCGGTGCTCGACCTGGCCGGCTCGGTGCCCGACATCGGAGGGTCGGTGCCCGACATCGGAGGGTCGGTGCCGTCTGCCTCGCCCATGGCCCCACTGCGCTCCGGCCCCGCGCTGCCCCCTCCTAAAACCCTCTCCCTCCCCCCCGTCTCCCCTCCCACCCCCCGGCCCGGCCCGGCCCGGTCTGGCCAGTTCGGGGTCGCGGCAGGGTCAGGACGGCGCGGTGGCTCCGCAAACCCAAATATTGAGGAGCGCGACACAGCAAGCGACAGGGGGCGGCCCCGGGCAAAGGCGGCCCCGGGCAAAGGCAGCCCCGGCACAGCTCGGAGCTTGGGATGGGGGGTGGGGGGGTAAAAATCCCTGCTCTAAAACAGGCCAAACCCATAATTTCTTATCGTTCCGGCGGGTTCAGGCGCCCGGCTACACACCCCCTACTTATAGGTGCCAACACTCCCCCCGGGAAGGGCCGCTCGAGGGTCCCTGCAGGCACAGGGAGGAGGATGGAGGAGTAAGAACTCTGCTGCAGCAACCTGGATTCCACCGGTGCTGCATCCCTGCAAGACACTAAACCCTTCAGAACACGTCCCTATGTACAGAATTATTAGTGGGCTCATGTCAGTCATTTAATTAAAATACACTCTCTTTAAAAAACTACTTCATTGATGACCCTTAATTAATTAAAAACCCACAAAAAGCGCCTAAATTTAAAAAAAAAAAAAAAAACAAACCTTGACGGGTTCCTTTGGAAGGAATCAGTCCCTCTTTTTCAAAAGTTGTAAAGAGCTAAGAAACAGAAGGAAAAGAATCGATGACTATCAGGCTGCTGTTCCAAAACTACCAACAGTGGCTCCACAGTGGTGGCTCCTATTTTAAAAATACTGCACAGGTCTTTGAACAGAAAACTTCCACCGGGCTGGATGGAAATATTGAAATAGCTAAGAATGAAACACCCCTGTTGGTTATAACAAATCTGCCAGGAGCAGAAGGGAGCTCTGATGGATCAGAGGAAAGACTCAGCAGTATGGCCACAGAGGTTTTTCTGCCCTCTGTAATGCAAAAGCAGTTAAACACAAGAGCACTGATGAAAATAAAAAGAGGCTGCAGAACCAAAGAGGTCTTTCACACTGAAAGAACAGGGGGAAAAGTGCCTGAGAAGTGCATTCCCTCCTGCACAGCAATATACAGAACTTCTCCAGGTATTTAAAGACAAATTAGCAGCCCATTTTAAAAAACGTGAGTCATAGAAGTATAAATGGAGGAAAATTATAGCCTTTGAAGCCTGTGTTCAGAAAGACTATGTCCAAAAGCTTATACCACCTGTCCCTTAACATATATTACAAAATAAAAACATACATTTAAGACTATACAATAATGCACAAAACACTCTCACAGACCAAAAAAAAAAAAATTCCTTAAGTGCCAGATGAACACAAAAGTACGGTGTGCATATAACTGGACCACACACACTGAGGTGAAAACTTACCCATTTTTATTTTTTAAAGAAAAATATTCTTCTTTAAACACAAAGCATGAACTAAAAACCTCTGAGGAACAGCTTCCCCTTCCTTGGAGCACGTTTAACTAAACTGTACAGTGATAGAGCTCCCCAAAGAAGGATACACACATAACATACAGTCTTTCACAGGAAATAAGGTTTAGGACTTGAAATTGTCCTCCTCACCCTCTCTAGATACCCATTCAGTCCAAAAGTACTCTGTACCTTACTCCCACCACAGGACACAGTGACGATAATTTCTGGATGCAGAAAAGAAAAAAAAAAAAAAAAAGTTGGCCAAATTGGCCCTTTCTAGCCTTTTAACAAATGTCTGTGAGAGAGGTTAAGACCATCGTTATTTCCAGGAATGGTGCTTGGAAGAAAAGATATAGCAGCATCCACAGGCAACACAAGCCCTTCATTCCAGCTGCCCTGTTTTAAGGAACCCAGCCAGTTCAGCAGTGTTTTACAGATGTTCCCATCACCCAAGAAAATGGAGTGGGAATCCAACATTCACAGGCCAAATCTGTTGCTTGAACAGCCTAAAATTCAGTGAATCTGGCCAACACGTGCCAGTTCTTTCCCCCCCCACCCCCCCGAGTGACCAGCTTAATGTCTAAAATTTTATGTAAAAAGATAAACAACTCCTTCTTCCAATCCCCTCTATCCCATGAAATAGATATGTGCATAATATTTGTCACATCTGCCAAACTACCCAGACTGTGGAACTGGAACCAAACTCTAAAATCCAAATTCTTTCTAAGTCGGAACAGCAAAATCATCTACAGTATCTGCAAGGTCTCAGAACATGCCTAACAAGCTCATATCCAAAGAAAAAGTACCTGGGCATTTCCAGTGGAAGGTAGGAAATGGAAAAGGCCTGGAAATAGAGCTCATTTATACTCCACCTGATCGTTAACTGTTGGTATTATTAAGTAATGCTCACACCTTTATCAGACCATTTTGTAAAGATCTTTTCCATTCCACTCCAACAACTTTTGCAGTAGGAAAAAGATTAGAAAAATAAAATCTCCCCCCTGACCAACGCTGTACGAAGATCAACACCACCAGTCACGAAGACTTTTACAGGGGGACCAGATCAACTTTTGTTTCCTCCAAACCAGCTTCATATAGAAAAGAGCAGCAAGATAGACACAGTATCTACGAGCTAGATTAAGGCCAACAATATAAAGACAAAACACGGGCTCAGGTCTTTTGAAATGAAGAAACCCTCCAAATGTTTTTATACACCTGCACACACACACACACACACACACACACACACACTCACACTCACACACACTCGTGGATTCTTCAAGCAAAGGCTTCACAACTGTGAGAGCACCACTGGAGAGTGTTCTAGCACCAGAACGAAAAACTTGGTTGTCTTCCCTCTTCAGCAATAAAATCCAAAGTCTTTATATTGCTTTGGGCAAGGTCACCAAACCCCCCTCCAGGAACAGTTTCAGCCCATCCGCGCAGGGACGGGTCAGAGCGTTCCTGTTCCGGAGCAGGGGTGGGAAGAGGCGTGTTGAGACGCTGCAGCTCCTTGGTTGCTGGAAGGGAGGAGAAGGTTTCTATTGCAGTCTGGTCGACACCGAGAGCAACTTGGATCCAGGTGGGTGTGATGGCAAAGCCCAGCGCAGGTGGGCTGGGAGGCGAAGGTGGGACGTTTGCATACGTGGAGTCACAGTGCGCATCTGTCGGTGTGACAGAGACAAGCAAAGCCACTTTTCAGTATTTTCTGGCAGCTCGTCTCTGTGCAGGAGGCCCCTCAGGCAGGACAAGGATCCATGAGTGGGATGTCACACACTGCACCAGGACACCACGAAACCCCAAGAGCAGAGGTTCAAATAGGAGCTTGGAAGTCGGTGTGCTAGCATCTTGCCTATACACATGCTCAAGTGAGCCTGCAGAAGTCTATAGAAGGGGGCAAAAATCTCTTTACAGCAAAGTTATGGGGTCCAGTTCGGCTACAAGGAACAATTCATGCAAGTTACAATAGACTCAATCATCAACCCACAGCACATCTCCCTGCTGCAGGTCTGTGCTGGCTCTAGGCCTTTGTGTGGGAGGTGCTGCCCTGCAAGCCCTTCAGCAGCTCCCTGAGGGGGCTGGGAGAGATGCAGAGTCAGGAGTGGCATCTCCTCAGCCTCTCACATCAGCACGAGTGGGTGAGGTCTGTCCTCCAACCGTTGCCACGCGGAGCAGGAGGAGCAGACTGCCCTAGAGGGAGGGTGGGAGCAGCAGCTGGCAGTGAGGCTGCTGAAACTATGCAGGGAGAGGGGGAAAAGACAAAGGGAGACTTCAGTTTTTCAGTGCTCGAATCAGCAGCAGTAAAGCCCCACTGAAGGTGTCATATGCATGCTGATTAGAGCCTGGCTATCACCCCAATGACGGACTAAGAGAGGTTGTGGTGGGGACTTGATTAAAACAAGAAAAGAAATCAGGTGAAAGGAAGGTGTGAATTCCAGGTTCAGAGCAGAGTGGTCAGCACTGATACACTTTGTTCTCTGCACATGCAAGAGCACACGAGAGGGAACGGCAGCAAACTGAAAGGGAGGGAAAGACACGGTAAGCCCAACACTAATTCAAGATGCAAACACAGGACAGTGGGGTGGGGGAGAGGAATATGAGGTAAAGGAGCCCAAAGGAAGAGACAATAGAAAAACTCTTAATAGAGCAAGTCCTGCTTCAGGAAATACACAGCTAATGCCAGTCAGCTCTCTTTTCACCAGGTATTCTTGACACACTGGTAAATCTTCTCTTTGCACTTGGTATTTAGAAATCAAAACACCAAGACTTTTGGTTTTTTTTTTTTCCCTTAGGATGCACTAAATGATTTTGAGTGTTCAGCACAATATTCTAAACGGCCCCTGAATTCCAAGCAATGCTGAAGACTCACCCAAAAGCAGAAATGCCAAACGATAAACTGCTTTTAGAAATCAAGGGCTGCTCCCCCTGGGTTGGAAATGGAGAATCTATGCAGAAGGTTGAACTGTACAGGTTTGGCATTTTTCACCAAAAGCACCTGGGCACTTAACTGAGAAATATCTGAAACAGTCACTCAGCAAATCCCAACACCAGAGTGAGGCATCAGGTTTGTGGATAGATGTGTACAATCAGACAGCCTCTCACCCAGCTCTGACAGAACAGGTTTGTGCGATTTACAGCAAGAACAAGCTCTGCCACTCGCTGCTCCAGGGAAAAGCCCAGCAGAGCTGGGACTTTGAGCCCCTTGACTGGGGTGCAAATCACAGCGGGACCCTTTCTTCTTCCAGACTTCACTGGAACAGAATTAACGCCTCCTGGGCAAAGGAAAGCACATCCTGGATCTGCTTCAGCCCTCCAGGATGTCTGTGTGGGGGCTGTGCAGCACAGTGTGGCTGCAGGGATGGGCAGACAACAGGTGCTGAGAACCAGCATGACCAGAAGGGGAGCTGGTCAAAGTGGCCTCAGGGCCAGGTCCAGGTGGAAGCACATGGACATCTAAGATGCAAGAACATGACAGAGCAGCCAAGGTCACCCACGTGCTTAGGCAAGCTTAAGGCAACTAAAGAAAATTCACTGATAGTTTAGAGGAGAGTGCCAAAGGGAAGAGAGAAGAGGAACCAGCGAGCAGAGGCTGGGGATGCTGCTACAGTAGCCAAAGACCAGCACCAGCTACTAAGCCATCCCTCTCCTTCAGCTCATTTGCTCTAATTCTCCTCATTTTACCAGCACCATCAGCACGAGGTCAATATGTCAGAAAGAAGAGCTGGGATAAGTTCCTAAAAATGCAGCTCACGCATTTTCAGGCTCGTGTCTCAGGTCAGTTGTTCCGAAATAAAAGTGTGTGGGCCGTTCTAACAGGCCTCCTGCTTTGAACTGGAGCTTGGTGGGAGTTCTGCCTGCCACCTCCGGGGGCAAGCCTGGGGTGTGTTCTACCTGGAAGTGATGGAAGCAGCTACCCAGGTTCCTTGTCATGAGTGTCGAGTGTACAGCAGTCCTTTAAAAACCAGCATGCACCAGTGGCATGGCCATTAGACGTGAAGCCATGGTTGGATTCTTGTTGTCTCCTCAGGACCAGGTGGACCCGGAAGGAAAGGGAGTGTTGGCACAAATCAGCGCAGGCTCCTGTAGACGTAGGCTGAGGTGAACACAGCATTGAGGGTCAGGCTCACAGCCAGCAGGCCCCGCAGAGCAGAGGTACCAAAGTGACCTTGGAGGAGGGGAACACACAGGGGAAAAAAGGGAATGGCAGAAAGAGGCATTAAAGAACTGATGGGAACAGTGAACATAGGCTGTAATGCTTCTCTCTCTTTGCCCAGAAGTTACTGAAGCAGTTTTCTTGTCAGGAAAGATTCCTCTGCTCTCTTTGGTTCTATTTTCAATCTCACCGCTGTTCTTGACACCTGCACCCCACCCCTTGTCCTCTGTCTCAGTTTAGCACTGTCAGTGTTCTGCAGACAGGCCAAAGAACAGGAACAGCCTTGTTAAGGTCTTAGAATAGCAGGCACAAGTTCCATTTTGCTACTACTTATTTATGTGATCTCAAGATCAGGTCACTGCAGCACAGGGAAGATCTCAGTTACCCTCACAGAAATGATTACACATGCATGAAACACTCACAGGACTTGCACTTACCCCTCCAGCCTGGCAAATCCTCCCCTTTGGTAGTTGTGTCTACCACACAGGTAGATGAGTGTGACGAGTGATCCTCCTTTTTGATGGAATTATCACTGCAAATGCTCCCTCCTTCCATAGCAGATCTCATATCTGCAAGGAGAAAGGATAGGAAAATTTGAAAAGGCACCAGTGGATGCCAAAAGTAGCAAAAGCTACCAGACTACAGCTAGACGTGAGTAATGGATGGTTGCTTGGTAAGATTAAGAAAGGACTGAGGAGAGGAACTGGAAGCAATAGGCAAATTTCACTGCTGTGCAGCAGAACTGCCTGCACGTGCCTCATACACTGCCCAGAGCAGCACCACCTCACTTGTGGCTAAAGGAGCTCTCCAAGCCAGGGAAAAGGCGGTGGCAGCAGCATTCCTGGGACACCACCAGGGAGAAAAGGACATCTGTCTGGGCGGCCAAGAGGCTCCTCAGCCCAGTGGATTCCTAAGGGAGCTTTGGTAGCCTACCACCACCACCACATGGGTTTCCCTTGAAGCCTTCCCATCTAACTGTGGCCTAGATGTTGCAGGGCTGTGCTTGCAAGCCAGCTCCTTCCTCCCAGAGCCCTCCCAGGAGCGCAGCAGGCTGCCAGCCTACCGGGCATTCCGCGCTCGCTGAGGCTCTTCCTCGGGAAGCTCGACAGCTCGGGGGCAAAGATGTTGCTGTCTGAGTGGGTGTGCTCCTCTGAGCTGGTTGGGGTGAGCAGGGCCTCATTCTGGGATGGGAACAGCAGCAGCTTCTGTCCTTTGAGGTTCAGGCGGGCAGGGCTGATGAGGGGCCGGCGGAACCGCAGGGATCCCGCGCTGGAAGTCACCGATCCGGCCACGGATGGTGCTGGGGAGGGGATGCGGGAGGGAGCACAGCTGCCAGACAGCAGGGAGAAGTGCTCTGAAATGAGACACCCCCAGAGAGGAAACCATGAGATTATCACCCAAATACAACAGGCACAGTTTGGTTTAACAGTTCTACAAGAGAAAGGAATGGGAGTTGCAAATGCCCAACGTATCTTGTGCTGAAATCCTTTATCTGAGTTCCCACACTGAAAAATATGGAGAAATCTGAGACGAGCTCAGAGCATGGTGCTAATGACACCAAGGTTGTGGGTTTGATCCTTGTATGGGCCATTTACTTAAAAGCTGGACTTTCTGATCCTTATGGGTTCCTTGCAACTCAGAGCATCCTGTGAAATTCCACATGCACTCCAGTACACTCAGGAATGACTCAGGAATTGGGTTATCAGGAGCCTGGTGAGCTTTCTCTTTGCTCCCTTGTGTCCATCCAGGAGAGCCTGCATTACACATTTTGCAGGTAAATGGATTGCTCTGGTACGTCCTTCAGAGGCTGGGGGGAAGGTGCACGGGGATGTGACCGCATTTCCAGTGGCACAAACAGCCAAGGGATCCACCTGGGTCAGAAGGGCATCAGACGGGTCGTGGGGACATGGGAGCAAAAGGGCAGAGCAGCCAGGGCAGCCAAATTAGCAGTTCCTGGGGCTGGGAAAGTGCAGCAAAAGAGCTGCCCTAGGAAGAATTGAAGTCTCCAATCAAAGCAGGCTCAACTCAGCTCCAAGCAGGGAAGGGCTCCTTGTTTTGTCTCACTGTGAGCTCTCTGGGGAAAAGGACATCTAGTACCTGATTTTAATGCAATCCCACTCTCAGCTGGGGCTCTCCCTGCAGCATTTCCAACAGCAAAGCTGACATTTTCACTGGGATGTGAGCAGGGAGGAAAGAATTCAACCACGTGTTTCAACCCACTCCCTGCAAATCCTGCAGACAGCTGCTCTGGCAGGCCCAGTGCAGTACCTGATGTGGGAGATTCCTTGGAGTGGGAGGACTGGGAGGCTGGTCGACTTCCACTGAATAAGTAGCCAGAATCTAAAAGCAAAAATGAAACAATCTGAACCCAGCTGGCTCAGCTGCTGGAGGTCTGTCCTTCAGAAATGCAACTGCATCATCTCACGAGGGGACAGGTGGGGAAATGCAGGCAGGAAAAATGTCCCTGTTTTCCTGCGTCGGCTCTATGCCAGCAGCAGAATAATCCACTTTTCCAGCTGCAGCAGAACAGCTCTGTCCAGGCTCTAAATTAGACATCCCTCCCCAAAATATCCAAAGCAGTGCATTTGCCAGTGGACTCTGGCACTGCAGAACTGGTTTATAATGATTTATCTAATGTTGCACAGGAGCAGATGGAAAACATGAAGGTGTGGATGCCTCACAGCCCATTTCCTTCTGACTGCACCGCTCCACTGCCTTTCCCACTGGGGCAGTTTCCTGCCCACTCACCTGCCCTGGCCAAGGAGGGGATGGTCCCCAGTGACAGGGCCCTGTTGAGACGTCCAGGGAGGGAGGATGAAGAAGTTCTGCGTGGGGACCTGAAGAGCTGCTGGTTTGTCAGGTGGAGGAGACTGGGTGGTGTTGGGACAAAGAGAGACGTGGCAGGTGAAGGGAAGGCTGTCCCGGTGCCGTTGGGAAAGAGAGTCATGGAATCCCCAGAGAGGTACCTGCAGAGGACACACATGACACACATTTAGCAAGGACAAGTTCCAGTCACTGCCTCCCTCAGTTGTTCTTGCATGAACAGTTGTTCTGTTACCAGCTTTGGACTGACTTTGCAGTGCAGGAGTGCAAGATGCAGAACGCTGAAGAGCTCCCAGGCACATTCCCACACTTTGGAACTGGGAAAGGAAGAACTGCTCAGCCTGACTTAAACTGTAGTGCACCGACCTGTCCCACAGCACAGGGTGGAAAAGACGGTGGAACAGCTTAGGGACTCAGGTGCAAACAGGCACAGTACCTTGGATCTCTCCTTGGATGAAAAAATTGCCTAGAGACCAGCAAAATGCTTTACAAAGTCCAGGTAAACATGGGATCAACCACAGAGCACATCTTATGTCTGCTGTGTGCACATGCCAACTGCATGCTTAGACATGTCGTGGCTGTGGGAAGCAAGTAGTTATGTATTACGTTTTTGTCCTTAGAAAGCAGAATCAACATCTTACCTCTGATGTCAATAGAGAGAAAAGGATTTATACTTCTGAGATGTACTAAAGGCTCACCACCCTCATTTTACAGATGGAAAAATCCTAAACTGAGGCCTAAACCACTACATTTAGTTTCCCTGCATGTCATAATTAGCCCCAAGTACGTCCTAGCACAGCCACTCCAGGGAGCTGTGCCCCTGCAGCTCCAGGAAGTGTCTGGCTTCCAGTGCTTAAAAACCAATCTCTACTACAGTGCCTGGAAAGAATTTAAATTGGAAATAATAATGGCAATTGTATTTCGAGGTCTGTGAGTTGTTTTCAATGGGTTCTTTCCAAGTGAAAGAGTGGAACTGCAGAACAGAGAGCGAGCAGCCTGAGAACACAAGAGGGGAGAGAACAGACAAAACATACCTGTTATTGATTTTTGAGTGCTAGAGACATAAACTGACTTCTATTCTCTGGTAAAATAACTGCATGAGAGGACTTTGTATTTTAATTGTTTTCACTGATAGCACTACCACAGTATCTCACACTCCACTGCTACATGTAAATAAAATACACAATTAATTTCTGACCCTGATTTCATCCCAGCTTTGCAGTGGTTTAAAATTTAAAAATCAACCTGAGCTGAACAATTTGCTAAAAGCTTACTCCTATTTTTACCTGCTTTCTATTCCTCCTTGCAATCATGTACTGATCTTAGTCCATGTGTACAGTTCAGTTGACTGTATCAGGAGGAGGCAGCTTTGGAGTCTCACCAGTGTTCTCAAGCCACCCAAACGAGCATCCCACAAAGGTTGCAGTGTTGAAAGTACAGCAATTTTGTACTATTTTTAACAATGGAATGAAAATACATGAAAGAAAGTCTAGCACAGGAATCAGATCTCTGAATGATCTCCTGCAAGATTTTTGGTTTGACAGAAACAGTAATAAAATTGTCAGAGAAATCACGATGAAGAACATATATTTTTAAATGGAGATACAATTAATCTGAAATATTTGGAGGCTTAATCTCACTTCTGATGGAAATAGATGAGAGCAGCAATGTGGCTTTTCTTCTGTCAGAGGAAAGTCAGGAGTAAATCAGAGCATGAAGGATATACATATCTCAGCCTTGTGCTGTGAGGTGATTTATGCACCTTCCATTCTGTCTCAGAGATTAAAGAGCTGGTGCAGCAATATCATGCTGTGCTAACACGTCCAGAAGAAGAGGTCTAAGAGCTAAGATTACAATTTAAAATATCTTACAAAACCATTTATCTGCTCCTACGAGGCAGACATAACAATCCTGACCGGCTCAATCAGGCTGAACAACATCTTGTGAGCAGGACTTGGATCTAACAGCAGCAAGGGACTCCTTAGTCCTGCAGCAGAAACTGCCCAACCTCTTCAGGTTCCAGGACCTGGGAAGGGTGTTGTGCTTCCCTTTAGTGCACTCACACACCCACATGTGCCCACCACACACACACACACACACACAGATGTGCCCACCTCAGCTTTGTAAGGGAAAAGGAGTGGGAAAGGGAGTTAAAAGTGCAGCTCAGGACTATGACATGAACCATGGGAGAAGGAGTGATACCTACCACTCGAAGGGCCAAATCAGAGCATCCCCTTGAACAATGCAGCTCTTTTGTCCTAACTTTGCACCTTCTGGGCTCAAGGACCCAAGGTTACACAGCTCCTTGCTGCAGCAGTTTTTCATTCAATGGGCTGGAAGATATTACAGTCATTTATCACCCATAACCACAATCTCTCTCTCTCACAATCCTGGGATTGTAACAGTTTGGGATCAGTCTTCCAAGGGCTTTGCTGCTCAACAGCCCCACTTCTCACCTCACCAAGTTAGTGCAGTCAGATCCTCGGGGCAGCTGAGGAATCATCTGCCTTGCACCATCCAGAAAAGGAGTTTTTCTGGTTAGCAAAGAGGAGCTGAAGAATTTTAAGCATAGCATACCAATGCCTTAGGATTGAATGGTGACCGAAGACTGGCTTATATATTGATCTGTTCTGAACAAACTCCTGCAAAGTGTTCAAAATCCTGTTCCCTTTCCCTGCACTCTCCTCCTTAAGTGTTTGCCACTGCCATGTCAAGAGGGCTGGATGCTGCTAAAAGCTGCCATGGGAATGTGCTTCGTGCCTGAGAAGGGGCAGCTGAACTAAAACTTCCTTCAGCAGCAGATGAAAAAAAGGTGAGGAGATCAAGAGGGTCATAAGGCAGGAAGCAACCACATCACAGCCTTGGAATGGAGCACTCTACAGCTGTGTCTTTGCTCCAAGCCATTTGTGAATGTGATAATAATGGATCTGGTAACAGTGGAAAAAAAGTAACAAAAAGGCTCTGGAGTCAGAGAGTTTGTGGAAATAGTCCGGGCCCGGAAGCCGTTTATTTCAGAACTCGATATCGTGAACATCAAAAATTGGGCATCTTAATTAGTGTTTACAATGATCACAGCGTTACTAGACAGTTGGGCACAACTCTGCTACACAGATACTTTAAAAATAAATAAATAGAAGGTTAAATAAGAGTATTACACGGTCTGGGACTGTACACGGTCCTGAAGAGACACCTCCTGCCAGCAGAGCCTCCCCTCCTCTGTCCCAACACCTCCCTCTTATCCAGAGACACCACCTGCGTGTGTGCCTATTTAATTCACATTTTAACCAGAGATGCTGCACCCTGGGACAGAGAGAGACATGGCAGGGCATGGGGCAGGTCAGACTACAGGGCTGGATGGACCCACTCCTGTGTCAGGGAATTCAGTCCATGAAGGAGGAAGGGAAGATGCAGCCACAGGCAGGCAGCTCGTGGTGTGTGCCCGGGTTCACCAGCCTGGGGCAGTCAGGGGATAAAATGTTAGCTTTGGACTTAATGTCCCATCCCAACTGAGCTGGGAGTTCTCCAGGTACAACTGCACCCTTTCCCCAGGCACAGTGGGTGCAGAACAGCTCCCTGTTACCCCACATTGCTGTGCCCTGACCAGGCACTGCTCTGCTCCACCTCCTCAGTCAGGGCCACAACCTGTGCCTACAGTCAAGAATCAGGAGTAAAGAGCAATCTATGAATAAAAAACAGGCACAGGGAGAAGGGAGAATGATGATTAAAAAGGGCACAGGTCTCGGACACATTAATATTTTGATATGTGACTTAGAGAGCTAGAAATTTTAGCTGTCACAAATAAGAGTTTTCTCCTATATGTTGTCCTGCTTTGGATGAAAAAGGAGGGTTAAACTGGAGCTGAAAACACTCCAGCTGCCAGGTCCTGCACTAACACCTTCTAGAGCACAGATTTGGCGTCAATTTTGCCCTCCCTCCTACAGGTGGCACAAAGGTCCTGTGTCTACACAAATCCAGACTCGTTGGCACGACAGAAATGTCCAGGGAACCTGTTCCTGTCTGTGCAACTCAACAGCTTTGGTCCCAGGTGAGGCTTTACAGGGGATAACTTCAGGACTGAGTACTGTCCCTCTCACAGGAGAGCATCTGCCACAGCTCAGAGTGGCCCCAAGGGTACTCACAGGTGACAACCTGGCAGGTTATATGTGACAGCACACATTTTCAGAAGCATCTCTTTGAAAACCAAAGCAAAGCCACACACCACAGCTCCCTGCTTTCAGGAGTGGAGTCAGTCTGAGCAACCATCTGGCTATTAGTTATATTAATTTTTATAAGAGCATAAATACTTTGTCCACATTACATCAATACATAGTTCCTACAGTATCTAAGCATGATTATTAGCTTCACATAATTTCAGAGTACTTGAAGAATATTCATCAAGCCAAAATGAAATGCCACGACACCGTTTTTATCCTCCCCTCGTGTCCTCACCCTTTGCCACACCCCAGCTCAGCTCACTGGGGCATGCAGAGCATAGGTGCAGGAAAGGAGGAGTTCATAGAACAGAAAAAATGAGATATAAATATAGTGTATTTCGAGGGGTAAAGGGCCACAAAGGCGTCAGTTTGCATGCACTGATGTCAATGAGGGCTTCAGAAGCAGCAGCAGAAGTGCTGACTTGGCTGCTAGTTCTGGGCCCTCCCTCAACCCCCTTAGAGTCTGCAGAGCTGCTCAGAAATTTAAGAGTGCAGCCCAAGTGCCCACTTATGCCCTGTCACCCTCACTAGGGGCAGATGAGGGACAGAAGCACTGGCCTGGCAGGCACACAGGCACTGCTGTCCCACGCTGCTTTCACCGCAGCAAAACAACACATCATTGTCACAGATCTTGCCCAGGGAAAGGCACTTAAAGAACCCACATCAGCCCCTTTATAAATCTGGCTCTGCTGGGCAGGGTACAAGATTTTGAGCTGGCAGATCAGCCACGACCACTGAGAGCCAGAGTCAGGCACTTGGGGATGGAGCAGATCTGATTTCAAGTGACACACAAACCTCACCACCTCAGCTCCATTCTGCTGTACCATCCTCTGCTCCAGGCACCAGCACGTGGGCACAGTGTGAAAAAGCAGCACCTTGAATTAGGGGCTTTTGGGCTAAAACCCTCTAATACTGTTAAGATGTTTGCACGCTCTGGCCTGCCTGGCTGGGAGAACCCTCAGGCTCCAGAGCTGCATCTGACAACCACAGGTTACCACAGTGTTCCTCTCTGGCCTGAAGGAAAGAGTCCAGCTAAGGGAAAACAAGGAGCTCAAAGCACCGATCAAGTGGTCCTGGATGCTTTTGTGCCAGCTGTGTTGATTGGCTACCAGCCCTTTGTTAGGTCTTGTCCCACCCAGCAGAAGGAAATGTGTTCCCCTGTGTGTGTGTCACACGAATAGCACCTCAGCTGCATGGGGAGGGAAGGGCTGTGCTCAGGGGATGGACCTGCACTGAAATACCTGAGCTGGGAGCATTTCCTTCTGCTGGATCCACTGGGGGGAAAGCAATCATGCAGTCAGGTGATATATCCAACTGCTGAGCTGTGTCCTCATTGAACCTCAGGGGAAAAATGCAGAGCACCTTCCATACAGAACCTACAGCGTGGCAGTGTCCAGAACAGTCTATTTTGCATTAAATCAGGGGTGGCATGAACAGTCTCAGGAAAGGCAGTGGTGATTTACCTACTTTTTTTTTTCCCCCCAGGAACAGTCCACAGTAAAATACTGCAAACTTACAACTGATCTTCTACAGGCCTCATTGTCTGACACACAGCTGGTACAGACTGAATGCTGCAGTTTATAAATCAGAACACCTCCGGAAAACCCCACTCTTCTCCTCCTTTCTTCCCTTTCTCCTAAAAGATCCATCTTCCTCTACCATCAGCAAGAGCATGAGAGACCAAGCATGTGAGAGAAGCAGAAAGGGAGGAGATTATCAGCATCAGAGTCTCTAAAAGACCAAAAATTCAACTGCTGCAAGTTTGGTTTTGAGGCTCTGAGGTTTTCTGTTGTTTTAAGAAGCAGCAGCACAGACATGCTGAGGCACAAAGAAGGGGGGATAATAAGCTGACACCTGAGTACAGACAAAAGCTTCTTTGGCATTAAAACTGAACCCCACTTCAGTATCTGTTATTTTGTTTCACCCATGACATTTTTTCAATTACAAGTCCAGAAGTTCTTCAATAAATCATGAACGAAGCACCACAGAGATCAGTTGTACAGCTTGACCACAAAACAAAGCAGCTTCCTGGTGTTCTGACATATAAATTAGTGCAACTTGTAAATATACTTCACTTGTATTAATCTGCATAAAGCGAAGACAAATGGATTTCTTGTGTTCAACTGCAGTTCACATATCTCCCAGATTAAAAGATTTTAAACTCAATGTAGAATTTGCACTTTGCTGTGCCAACAGAGCTAAAATACTCCCTAACAGGGTTATTCTGGCTTCACAGTGTAAATCCCCCTCCTTCCCACAGTTCTACCAACTGCCTGTTCCCAATATTGAGTTGCATCCTCCCCATCCCATCCCAGCACTGCACAGGGAAAAAGACAAGAGAAGAAGAGAAAAGAAAAGGAATAGTCAAACAACATAACAGAGATTGTTATATATCAGGGGTTCAAAGACGGGGCAAGGTTAAATTGAAAGAAAAAAAACCCCAAAGTGCTCCTAAAGAGATGGGAGGAAAACAGGAGACAGAAGGGCATGTTAAACAGCACACAGAGAAGCTTAACACAGCCTTGACTTTCAGCTCCTAAGAGCTAAACACCCCAAGAGGCTGCCAAGTATCTTCAGAAGCTGCCACTGAGAGATTCCTTGCTACTGGGCAAGAAAATTTGGACAGATTAATTTTGTTCTTATAAAAAAAGGGATAACTGCTGATAGAAATCAGGTATGACATTGCCCACAGTCTGTCAGCTGCTCACACCCCTCCTCCCGCCAGCAATCTCAACACATCCTTCAAACATGAGAGTTCTCCCATCACTGGGACACACCTGACAGGGGAGCAGCAAGAGCAACTTCCAATCCAAGCTGTGCAGTGAGGGCAGAAGAAAATCACAGCTAAACAGAAACATCAGTTATTTCCTACATTTGACTTTAGGAGGAAAAATTTAAAGTCCTGAAGCGGAAAAAAGGGAGGAAGAAAAAAATAAGTCTGGTTGTCTTATTTCACTTATTTCACAATAGCTCAGGGTTTTCTGTGCAGCTTTTTCAGAGAGTGGCAGAGCTGGCACTGGATTTGGTGCTCCTGCCCATCTCATCATGGCTTTGTCCACCACCTCACTTTGAACAGCAGATGGGCTGCAGAACAGTGGTGTTGGTTTTTTTAGGGCTTTTATCCTCTGCCACTTCCCATCCTTTCACGAGCTTATTACTTTCTGTCTTAACACTGCTCCCTGCTCCAAAAGGTACAGAGAAAAAAGGACTGCACTTTTAAGGAATGTTTCCTATTAAATCTCCTAACGGAGGGTAGGAAAGAGGCACCAGAGGGATTGTGAAAGCCTGACCCAGCACACTTCTGCTGGCTTTTTACTCTGCTTCGTCACGTGGCTTCCTGCAGTATTTACTTTGAAACAATTCTCTAAATTCAACCAAGTGCCCCTGCAGAAAATGGGAAAAATGGTTGTTATTATCATCATTTTGAAAGTCTGAGGCTGGAATAAGAAGCAACCTGTGACTGTGAGCTGGAAGATGAGCGTTTTGGGTCAGGATTGATAAGTGAGGGGAAGGTGGAAGATGGAACCAGACTTTGCAGGTGCTGGGTTCCTTTTGTGGCTAAGTAAGTAAACAACCCTAAGAGCAGGATCATTCACAAGCACCAGAATGGAGACAGGTGTTCTGTGAGCCTGGAGGTGGATATTTATCTGAAGGCACTGGAAAAACGTTCCAAAGGAGAGCCCAGAAGGGAAGCAGGTTTGTGTGGCCCCTTCCCTTGTTAAGTTACAGGCACACAGTCCTTCAGCCAGGAGCTGCACCTTCCCATGGCACACTCAGCCTGGCTTATTGTTAAAGAACCTCACAGTGTCACCTTTGTGCTTTCACAAGGATCACAGGTTGGAAGAACAGTAACTAAGAGAAGATATTTTGTTTCCTTTAAAAAAAGGCCTCTGATTTCCCCGGCATCTGCAGCATCCAGTAGTGTCTGAATTTCAGCAGGAGCTGCAGATACTTCACAGTGAGAGCTCCACTGATTATTTTAGAGTTTACACACTGGAAGATCACAACACCCAATTAATTTATATCAGACCATTAGTGTGGCAAGTTCCACTGCACTATTCAGAACAGAGGAAAAACAGCAGACCTGTAGCAGTGCTATTCCCTCTTGGAAGACCCAAATCCATCAGAGAGACTCAGTGGAGTGCCTTGCAAACAACAGTGCAGAATACTCAGCCTGCTGATCTAAAGAGGTCCCAGCAAGTCAACCCCATAAAAACCCAGGCAGCTGGAAGCTCCTTCCTCCCTCCCCACACAGTAACACCCAGCCATCCCAGCTTTCAGCAGAGGACTGCCAGGCACTCAGTTCCAAATCACCATTTCCAGACCCCTTTTTTTCAGCAGCATTAGCACCAGTGCCAGACTTCAAAAGAGAACCCTTCCAAGTTAACCCCAAAAATCCATCTCTGTTGCCATGCAGTCCCACAGCAGAGCTCCCACCCCTTCCTATAGCACATCCTTCCTATCTGTGTTCTCAGCAATAAACACTGATGAACAGTAAAAGCTGACCATGAGGTTGTTAGTCCCGTATTTTTTCTAAGGCTACAGGAGTGAAGGAACACGTGCATTTTTATCCAATTGTGCTTGTACACAGATGTTCCTCGGGGGGGTGGGGGTGGGTGGGTAACAAACCCAAAGAAAACTGGCACTGAAAGCAACAGCCACTGGTAGATCTGAAAATTTAGCCTCAGTCAGCTGAATACTTTCAGGTATTAAATCAAGACACCCTGAGCTACAATGACCTTGTAAAGCACCCTTTTGAATAAATTATTGGAGTCCCAGTCAACAGCACTTAAGGACACTTCTCCATTTAAAACAGGAGCCAGGAGAAGGGCAGAGCTAGAGGACATGCAGGTAAGTGATGCTACACAGTGGAAGGCAAGAAGAACCAGGTGATGGGCTGCGTGTGGTGCCCTCCTCGCATGCCTGGGCGTGTCACCACAGCACACGGCACAAGGACTCCAAATCCAGAGGCAAGTTCCCATCAGTTCCAAGTTAAAATGACCAGCACCATTAGAAAAGTGAAGGTGGCCTGGGCCCCATGGTGGATCAAGGCAGAGGGTTCCTCTGTGAGTGGCTAAGGATGGAGAGGCAGTGAGAAGAACTGGGAGGACAGGAGGAGCCCGAATCTCTTTGGCTGGAGGAGCAGAATGGGGAGGAGGCTGCATTCACGGAGCAGTTTGTGAGGCAGCTGCTGGAAGAACTGGCTTTGGGGAAGCTGGATATTTGCACTGCTGACGTAGGATGCAGGAGGAAGGGAGAATGGAGGCAGCAGGAGTAGCTTCCATGGCTAGCAGTGGAAGTGCTCCAAGCAGCTAGCACAGTGGTAAGCAAGAATGGGAAAAAAATAAAATATATATATATATATATAAAAAGGAAGAAGAGATCTTCACTGCTTATCTAATTAAAAAAAAAAAAAAAAGAAAAAAGGGAACAGAGGAAGGGAAATAAAAAGAGGAGAGAGAAGCACCAGTCGCAAAGAGTTCACAAGGCTTTTTTTGCTCCTTCCCCCAGGGTCACTGCTCTGGCTCTGACCTTCGGGGCCGGTATCTCCGCTGGCCCGTCGACTTCCGCGTGGCCACGGCCGCGGTGAATCCCACCAGGCAGCACAGGGACGTGGTGCCAAACTTGGCCGTGTCCAGCCAGCTGGGGGTTTCCATCTTCAGGTACCTCTCGGCTACGTGCAGGCTCATCACCACGAACCACAGCACGGAGGCGAAGGCGTCGATTCTCCGGAGTCTGCAATGGAAAAAAAAAACCAAATGAGTTTGAACACCAGTGAACTCCCTCGGTGCTGAGGAAGCAGAGGGAAGGTGGGGAAAAGGAGGGCAGGGTACATGGATTGAGCAGGTTATGTACTGCCCCTGACTAGGTGCAGCCCTGCCCATTGCTGTGTGTGAGCACCTGAGTAGATCAGCCCAATTTCCTCCCAGAGCTGCACAGGGAACTTTTCATTCACATTAATTCAAGTTTAAATTGAATGAGCCAAGGCACAGATCCAAAGCAAGCTCTGCTCTCTCCACCCAGCCTGCTGGCAAAGAGCTGTGCTACCCAGTACTACATCTACCATTCTGGCAGATGTTTATCCCTGGATCACTGAGTCAACACAGGACCAAAGGCCTCCAGTGCAACGCAGTTTTCCTTGAAGTGAACCAGGAGCCAAGTGCACACCCACCTGATCCTCCCAGCCAGGAACATGGCCAGCAGGCAGGTGAACAGCCCCAGCACAGCCACGGCCATCTGGTGATTCTTCCCATAAGCCCACACGGCGCTCAGGTTCTCCACCACGTGCTCCGGGAGCAGCTGGAGCAGCTCCCTCCATCCTGCCACCCTCACTGAGGTGTCATTGCCCACGTCTGCACGGGAGCCTGAGCCAGTCCTGTTCCGAAGGGGCGCTGGGCCAGAGGGGACGGGAGCAGGGACTGCTGTGCTGAGGGAGAAGGGGTCGCCTGACCCGTACAAGGCCATCAGAACCAGGAACGCACAGCTGAGGAAGGCCAGGAACCGCAGGAGGATCACCTGAGCTGGTGTGGTTATGGAAGCAGAGGAGGAGGACGAACATAAATTCTGCAGAGGAAGGGAGAAACACCTTGTCAGAAGCTGAAGGAACTGCAGCAAGGTTTTGAAACGGTGCTTTACGAAACGCCTCCAGACTGTATGGTTTACTGGACTGTTTGGCTCAGGTCCTTCCAAGTCTCTGTACTGGGCTGATACTACATGTAGACCAGCAAAGGGCAACTGCAGAGCCATGAGCAGAAGCCAAGGTCAGGCAGGGAGAATGTCATAATTCACTTCCCATCGTTCTTTTTTAATTTTTTCCCCTTGTATTCCACAGTTTCCTGCATTGCACTCCTAAATTGCCTTCCCTACCTCCCCTTCTCTCTACCTGTCCCACAATTTCCCTTCCACTCTGTTATTATTACACTAGACTTGCCTTCTGGCAACTGCCCTGAAAGGCACCAGCAGGAGGAAAACCTCAAACCAACCTCAGGAGCATCCGTGCCAACTACCCTGTACTCTTCTAAACTGCTGGTTTAGAAGCAGCTCCCAGCTCTGGGGAGCCCCAAAGGCTGCTGCCTTCCTTTCCCAGCAGGAATGGTATCCAGCTCTCTGCACGTGTCCCCTCACCTGGGCATAGGCCTTGTCCGTCTCACGGCGCTTGAAGTGGTGGCTGAGCAGCAGCGCGCGGAGCTGCCGGTTCTGGTGTTTGATGTAATACTCCACAGCAGCCTGGCACGGGCGGCACAGCTTGTAGGTCTGCTCCAGGTGGTGCTTGTACACCTCAATCTCCTCATCATACTTGCCCTGGTGAGAGAGCAGGAGAGGAAACGTGGGTGGGAACTGCAGGGCCCTCAGCAGCTATCGTGTTTGCTCCTGACAGGCTAAGCGTGACCCCGGTGTCCGGGGGAACAGGCCCCTGGAACCAAGCTGGAGGCCAGGCACACAACCAGCTTCACACACAGCTGACCCAGCCTCCATGACCCAGAAGAGACGAAAAAAAGCCTTGGAGAAGGCTGCTGTGGCCCAATTTCAGGATGTTGAATTTCTGTGGCCCTATTTTGCTGTCTTCGTTGAGACCTTATGAACTCAGCCCAGGAGGTGAGACAAGAAACTAAAACTGCTCTTCCCCTCCTCAAGTGAGGGGACACAAAATACCTGTTGCTCCACTGTGCTGGAGAAAGAGACAAGCTCCTTTCAAAAATCAGCCCCAAACTTGAAGGCTGTCCCTGTTTGGAGGCCTTAGTGAGATGAGCTCCACGAATCATTAATAACACCGGTAAAAACTGTCAGTAGGAATGTTTTTCAGTGTCACCACAGTGGACACATCACTTATCACAGAAGCTTCCAGGGCTCTTCCACCTCCCAGATCCTTGTACCAAAAACGTCAGCTGAAAGCATGCAGCTTCTCTGGAAGCAGGAAGGTGCATTGAGGCTGCCCAAAAGTTTGCTCCAGCAGTTCCAGAGGCTCCATCTTTTGGAATCAAGAAGGAATCTCATGGCAGAGACCAGGAACAGCAGCCTCATCCCTCACTGGAACAGGCCAGCAATGCTGCAAGAGGCCACTGCTGCCACTGGCACACTTATCCAACCACGCTGGATAACACAGTCCCACATTTCTCAGCTGGCACAGACACTGCAGGGCACTGAATGCCTAAAAAAGGGGCCAGAGGCTGGCAGTGCTTTGAGCAACTGGATAGGTCTGGCAAGAGGCAGGGACTAGAAATAAAGCTGAGAAAAGGGCACCAGCTGAAGATACTCTCATTAAGCATGATCAGATTTAATTCTCTGGGAGTCACCCTGATCAAACTCATTACAATTACACAAAGCAGACTGGATTAGGCAAAACCAGAGGAGGAACACGTCCCACTGCAGCACAGTCTAACCCCAAGGCTTGACAATGGTTGAAAGCTAAGGAGTGCAGCACTAAACTTTCTCTCTGTGAAACGTTGGGGAGGTATAAAACTGCGAAGCAGAAACTCCATTATCCCATCTTCCATGCATATTAAGTAATGGGAAAGCCAAGAAGTTGCTCAGCAGGAAATCCTATTGCTGTAACTGTAAAATCCCTTTGCCCTCCTGGGCACAGATGCCTAAGCAGGGAAATTATGTGGCTGCACAGGATTCCTCTCCCACTGCACTAATAATGCAGAGCTGCACAGGCAGGGCCTCAGGAAAAACAAAATCTGTTAAGGCTTCAAGATATCCAGTGGGCAGCTGTGCCTGCCAAATCCTGCAAGCTCGGCCATGGGAAGCACTGGAGCTGTTAGCTGATCTCAGCAATGTTTTGGGCTCCAGCTTCGACTCCCGGCACTCATCTAGAACAGGGCATTACATTCTGGCTCTGGAGCAGAATTAGGTAAATTTGCAGCACTAATCAGTAACCTTCTCTGCATGGAGAGTCACATGATGCTTCTGAAGACTATTGGAGCATCATTCCACAGTACCCTGAGAAATTGCTCTCTCTCCTGCTTTCAAAGCTGCAGGATGGAATTAAATCAAGCAGGAACAGCAGAGCCATGAACAGGAATGCCTTGGTCAAACACTCACCTCCTCCCTCGGTGAGAATGAAGCCAGCTGTTTGATTTTCATGGTTTGATGGTTGTTGCACTTCTTGCAGAGCAGAATTTGGCTGCTCACCCACTGCTGTGGTTTGGTGGGATCACAGTAAGTGGTGCCGCCCGACACAACGTGGTTTAGGTGCTCCATGTACTGGGCAGGGATGGGCTTGTTGTAGTCTCCATTCTGACAAAAAAAGCAGGAGGGGGAAGCAAACATTAGGTCATAAAATCAAAGCTGGGTTGGCAATAAGATTCCCTAAGCTCTGCCAGCAGCTTTAATTCCATGCATTCACTTACTGTAACAAAACAGATACGCAAGAAAAGAGACAAAACCCTTCAAATCTTCTGCCCACCTCCACTGCTCCACACACCTACTGCAAGCAGCTGGTGGCGAGATAGGTTTTGTTATTTAACAGAATACAGAACCAGAGGATAATAACACTGCACCTCCTGGAAGCCGTTGTACTGCTCACAGTTGGGGCAATCCCAGCAGTTGCGATTCCCGTAGGGCACCACCGTGTCCTGGTTGCAGAACCAGCAGTTCACCGTCACGTGCGTGGGCTTCTTCCTGCTGGGAGAGGAAACGTGTCAGGCACCAACACTGAGCTGGTGGACAGGAAAGCAACGGCTTTCAAACAGGGAAATGCAAGTGGGGCTGGAAAAACGATCAGCCTTTCCCATTCCGTGCACTTAATGAGTATCATTCACTTTGGCAACGAAAAGGTGGGTTGCCAAAGTAGAAATAAATTCTGTACTAATACCATGAACATGCGGAATTAACATTTTTCAGGGACACGTTTGGGGGTGCAAATCCTCTCCATAACCAGCAGTGTTATTTATATGAGAAGGGTGCTGTAGAGTAGCAAACAGAATTCCAGGAAAAGGAAGTCACGATCCACAAGGGCTGCCTATGATGGTGCTCAGAAACCCAGGAAATGGGCTCATGGTTACATGGTTATGTGTTTTGATAGAAAACTTTTCAAGAGTAAGGGTTATCACATTATCCCAAGGCTCAGGCACTGTAAACAGCTGTTTCTTCACAGCTTTAGATACAGAAAGAACTGAGGAAACAACCTGTCTTCCCTGAGAACGGAAGGGATAAAGACTAATGACCTTGATCCATGAGCACCTTGTTTTCTAAAGCAATCCTGTTAAAACAACAGCCAATACAGACAAACAGCTGTGACATGATCCTCAACACCACAGGCTGTGACAGATGTTTGAGCAAAGAACTGCAGTGGCCCGAGCCCTGGGCCTGCCTGCTAAAGAAGGTCTGTGTTTGTCTCGGAACTCGGGGCAGTCCCCACGAGGAGCTCCCTGGCAGGTCAAGGCAGCACAGCCCAGCTGTCTGGGCTTATCAGAACCAGTTCCAGTCCCACTTCCAAGGGAGGGCAGCTGCTCAGGGCCTGGCTATGGCAGCTATGCAGACAGATGGACCCAGCTGCTGCCAGCCCAGCTCCACCAAGTCATTAATCTGTGCGGCTCCACTGCAGCGGCAGAGAAAGCAACGGAGCAGGGGGGCTCATGGAGGGACTGGGAAGCAACGAACAGGAGTCCAAACGCTCCCAAATTGAGAGCAACTTCCCTTCTTCCTGCTCTAGGAAAGGGTCTCTGCTGCTGCAAAATTCCACAGCAAAACAGCTTCTGAAAACTGCAGAAGTGTTGTCTGGCACCCTGCAACCAAAGGGGCAGCTGGGTCTTCCCCTCTCTCTCAGCCATCACCTCTGTAGTTGGATGGCCACAATGAACATTCTTCCTCCCTCCCATTTCCACAGACCCTGCCTTGAAACTTGGTTCATAGAACATCCAACTCTCAGGCAGTGCCTGCCCTTCCTGTTTAGGTGCTAACAGTGAGATGAAGCTCGCAATGAAGCGCTGAAACTCCACAGTGCATTGAGGATTCCCTGCCAGATGCTGAAAGAAAATGGCTGGAGCTACTTGGGTGACAGATTCTCATCCCAAAAATAGATGCAAACACCCACACCCCTCCTAAAATGAATATTCCCTGCTCAACTTTCTTCATTGCCAAGGGGGCTCAAAACAGTAACTGATGCGAGTTAAAAATACCACTGCTGAAACGAAGAGGTAAAAAAAAAAGAAAAAAGAGTTTAAAGCAGACAAATCTAGGTCGTTAGTTTGAGTTATCCATGAGCTCCCACTGCCCAAATGCCAAGGAAACCACTTGTCAAAACAGCCACGAGAAGGATGGACAGCAACACCTGTTGGCACTGGTTTCATCTCACTATCCCAGGGGGGTAAAAGCTGTGCAAGCATAACATGCAGGGTTCTTTAACCACCAAAATACAAACCCTAGTGCTCCTTGAGCCCAGACTTCACAGCAAGCACAGTCTGATCTCCACCCACTGAGGGAGATTATTGCACAGGTCCCAGGTACTGTGGAACATGCCACAATCTCATCTCCATGACACTGTTCTCAATCCTCTGGCACCCATGGAAATTAGACACACCACACTTCAGCCCCTCCCCACCCCCAGTGTCCTCCATGACAGGACAGAGGAGGTGGAAGCACCGATTTCCAGCAAAAAAAAAAAAAAAAAAAAAAAAAAAGAATCAATGCCAAACCCTACCCAAGAACTTGCTAATACAAGAGACCAAATCCTCAGCAGACTCCAGACCCTCCCACCTTTTTCCAAACAGGATTCCCCTTCTCACTCTTGAGGCTGAGGAAGTGCTGGAAGGATTAAACAGCAGCACTTCATTCTCACAATGTATGCAAAAGAAATGGCTAAGTCCTGGATTATTTAGGATAAGAGGCAATAATCCTTCCTTTTGTGAACCTATGAACTGTTGCCATAGAAATAGGTGCAAAAAATCCCAGGTTCCCACTCTGCTGGATGCAGAAAGAAGAACGAGGGGGAAAAAAGGTCATTTTAAGCAAGAACACGTAGGTGGGGTACAAGTTTTCTAGTAATTGGGTAGGACTTTAAAAGCAAAAAACAAGTACTGCATTTGGAAAGGCTCTCCAATACAGATTTAATGAGTTTGGAGCTATATTTACCTTGACTGAATTCAGGCAGCAGCTGAAGGCAATAAGCTACAGCACACACTGCTGCTGGAGTCACACCCCAGGCCGAGACAGACAATGCAAAACTGAGCACTTACACAGTGCTCAGTGCCTTGCAAAACACCGGGCAAATCATCCCCGAGGAGTTTACACTGTACCACTGGATTAACTCGAACCAGCTTCACTGGGACAGAGAACCTCCAGCATCAAGAGGTGACTGAATTACCAACAGCAGAGGGAGATTCCACTCCCGGCTCACCTGCTGTGCCAGCTCCGTGCGGAACCCGCACACACAAACAAGCTCGACAAAATTCCCAGGATAAGTTATTCTGCAGGTAAGAAGATATTTGCTTAAGACAACAGCAAGGGGAAAACACCTGCAGTAAACTCACTTAGGGGACCAACACCTAAATGTCTGACAGTGCCCAGATAACACAGGATGTTCCTTTGTGAGAGGCCTTCATTTTGCTCACAAAAATCAGGTTGCAGCTCTGCAGATCCCGTTGACAGACACTGTTTAGCAACTACTTTGTGTCTGTCATGTAATATAAGAGGACCTCAGGTTCCTTCCAACTCCCAGCCCTCTTCACTATTCCTCACTTATACACATATTCAAAGCCACGCTTTTAATGGATTGCCAGAAGAACAGTCTGATAACTGATAAATGCTGATAATAATAAACTGGATCTATGAATATTAATATATTTAATGTATAAATATTTATAAATATTTACATCTATTTCCTCCTCCCCCTTACTACTAGGTCAGAAGACGACGATGTTTGGTTTTCCATATTTAAAAGAAATCACCGGTGGATGAGCAGTTCTTTGGGGGGGGGTTATCCTCATCCTCTCCCAAGGATTAGAATTAAAACCCAATTCTCCATAAAAAGTACTTAAAGCAGCACTCTTCATTCTGGCACAACTGGATTACAAAGCAATTATAGAAATGGCTATGCCAGCAAATCTGAAGGGAAGACACGCCAGGAAGAGGAGCTGATTTGCACAGATCAGCCCCAGGCACAGACCCAGCTATGGCACAGCCCAGCTCACCATCAGGGAAGCTCCTGGGTATTTCCAGGTTGTGCCCATGTCCATCACCTGCCAATAAAGGGGTCTGTCAGTGCAGACCCCCCATTTTCCAGTACAAGAAAAACACATCTATTTAAATTCCAGCAGGCAAATGCTGTCACACGTTTGCTCACAATCAGCAGTTGTGGACAGGGTTGAAGATTTAACCAGAAGATCAGATTTCTAGTACAGTGTCATAGGTTACAATGCACTCTCTCCTCTCACAAAACCCTCATAAGTGTCCTCTCAAGAGGGAATAAGGTGCCCAGTGGACCTAGGCAGGGACACAGACCCACAGTCTGTGGGCTTGTCCCCCTCAAGGGCTGCCAGAACTGTGAAACTGCAGCTTTAGTAACTTGGAACACTCTGGAGAACACTGGCCACAGGTCAGGATGCTCCAGGAAAGGTGCCTCTTTTTGCCACTGCAGTACCCATGACAAGCTTCCCAAGGAAATGCTGCTACAGCTGCTGGTCTGAACTCAGCACCCCAACTGACAAACAGCCAGCCAGGCTGTGATCTCAAAGAAAGACCACCAAACATCCCAGAGTTTTTCTATCTGGCCCAAATTCACACAGATTAAGGAGTTCCTGTACATATGTGGACATCAAATCTTTTACTTCCTTGATTCAAAAAGCAAAGGTAGCACCATATCTGTGTTTGACATCGTGTCTGTGTCCCTGATAAAGCTGTCCTCCTGGATGACTATGGAAGATTAATTTCTGAGGCAGAGTAAGAAATCAGGTAATATCAGACCATTACCAAGAAATACAAACACGTACCCCCAAAGAATTATCAAGGTCGCCTCCTGAAAGAATTTACCAGCAGTCTTCAAGGAAGAAATGCTTTCCATTCCAGAGACCTTTTGATGAACTTGAGCAAAACAAATCCAATCTCCTCCCTCAAAAGGCATGTTAGCCTCAACTGGGTCAAAGAAACGCTGCCTGCTTCGCTGGGATTGCTTCAGGCCACCAGGATTTCTTGGCTACCCTAAATATGTCATAGAAATGCCAAGTCCTGGATATGGGTTAATGTACCACTGATCATTTATATGGTTACACAGACAGCAAAGGCTTTAGAGCAAACTTTAAGCATCATATTGTTGATGTAGAAATATGCTTCTACTGCTAAGTGTAAACTTGAAGTGAAGCTTAACACAGGGAGCCCTTGGGGCTGCCTTTTCTCCGAGAGAGGCACTCAGCAGATGAGCAGACTGCTGTCTGTAGCTATAAAGACTAAAGTGCCTCGTATTCCACACATCCCTGCACTCCTGTCACGCTAGGCTAGATTAGAATCTGTCAAATTAAAGCTTTGCTCCTTTTATGAGATCTGTATCCTGACATGCCTCCTGATGCTTTTCAAGCCTGCTTTCCAACTGGTCTGAATTTGTCCTAAAGCGTCCTGTGCAATCAAGAAAACAAGTAACCAAAGAATTTTGCTCCACAATCAAGAATTTTGACTTCTATGGAATCCCCCCGAGTTCTAGCACTGTGCTAAGAGTGATGTGATTTTGCAGCCCCGTTCCCCATGAAATCCTGCCTTCAGCCTTCATCAATCAGCACGGGAAGCAGGATTTTATCTTTCCCTGCCTCAAACACATCAGAAAAAAAGGGGGAGACACCCGACCCCTGAGAGCCTCTGTCCCTGCATCCTCACATCTCTCCTGATGCTTTTCAAGCCTGCTTTCCCACTAATCTGAATGCATTCTAAAGTCAGGAACAAGAAAACAAGGAACCAAAGGACTTTGCTCCCTAATCAATCATTTTGACTTCTATGGAATCCCCCCCGCGTTCTAGCACAGTGCTAAGAGCGCTGTTCCAGCAATCCTGCCTTCAGCCCTCACCAACTACCACGGCAAGCAGGATCTTCCCTTTCCCTGCCTCAAACGCGTCAAAAAAAAAAAAAAAAAAAAAAAGGGGGAGACCCCTACCCCTGGGAGCCCGTGTCCCCCGCGGTGTGAGGGCAGCGAGCCGCGTACTCACCGCTCCCCCCGCGGCGCCTCCGGGATGCTCAGCCCGGCACACACAAAAGCCATTCCGGGGGACACGGCAAGAACAGATCCAGCCATTCGCCCACACCCTGACAACGCCGGGGGGGACTTTCCCCGAGCGTTCTCCTCGGGGACGGACCCGGACCCTGGCCAGGCGCACCCGCGGTGTCCCCACACACACACCCGCGGTGTCCCCACACCCAGCGGGCCCCGCGTGGCGCCTTCCCGCCGCCGCGGGCCGCACATCCCGCCATGTCCCTCCCTCCCTCCCTTCATTCCCTCCTTCCCTTCCCATACCCTCACTCCTCCTCCCTCCCTCCCTCCCTGCCGGCCGTACCTCCGCGCGAAGCGGTAGAGCAGCAGCCCCGCGGCCGCGGCGCACACGGTGGCGCCCAGCCCGGCTCCCTCCATGCCGGCCCCGGCCCCGACCCGGCGGCGCTGGCGCTGCTTTGTACGCGGCGCGGCCGCCCCCCCGTCCCGCCCCTCGCTCGGCGGCGGGGGCGGCGCGTGACTCACGGAAAGGCCGGAGTCGTGCGGCGGGGCCGCCGTGAGTCAGCGCCGCCGAAAAAAGGCCGAGATCGTGGCGGCGGGGGCGGCCCCACGGGCCCCCCGGCGCTGCCCCGGCCCCGTGCGGGGGCTGGCGGCGAGGGGAGGTCGTGCCTGGCCCCCGCCGTGCCTGGCCCCGCGCCCGCCGCGCTCGGGAGGCGCAGGGGGTTCGGGGGGGGAGTTGTTGGCTTGAACTAAATTTAGACGCGGCGCTTTCTCTGTGCTAGAGAGGGACAGGCCGGGCGTCCCCGGGAAGGGCGGCCGCGCTGCCCGGAGTCGTTCACACAGACACAGAATATCCTGAGCTGCAAGGGACGCACAAGGATCATCCAGTCCGACCCCTGGCCCTGCACAGACACCCCAGCAATCCCACCCTGTCCCTCAGAGCGTTGTCCAAACCCTCCTGGAGCTCTGGCAGCCTTGGGGCTGTGCCCACTGCCCTGGGCAGCGTGTTCAGTGCCAACCACCCTCTGGGGGAAGAACCTTATCCTGAGATCCAACCTGAGCCTGCCCTGGCACAGCTCCAGCCATTCCCCGGGTGCTGTCACTGAGATCCCCACAGAGATCAGCACCTGCCCCTCCGTTTCCCCTCACAAGGGAGTTGTAACCTCAGTGAGGGGTCCCCTCAGTCCCCTCAGCTGCTCCTCCCACACCTTCCTCTCAAGGCCCTTCACGGGTCCCATCTCCAAAGAGGGGAAAAAAGGCTTCAAACACCATGTTCTTAAAAAGGCACAAATGGAAAAGCTCTTCCCAAATATTTGTACTGGAAGTAAGCTGTGCTTTTAAGCTTGTCTTAACTATGGTTGGGCTCTCTTCACTGTTCCATTTCCCTCTCCATATATTTAACCACGGTAATGAATTCCGTGGAGTAACAGTGAATATTTCATCTTGACAAATGTAAAAGGGACATATTTTTTCCATCTCTCTTCCACTGTTTAGCACAGTCACTTAAGGATTGTTTTATGAGACCAAATGATAGAGATAGGAGAAACAACCCACCCAGTTATTTGGCACATGAAGACCTTCGAGGTCCTCTAGGACTTCTGGAGAGCTGGTTGATGTTTTCTACAGAGGTCCCTCCCTTCCTATCAACTCTCTGTAGCACCGGTCCAGCCAGACATGCATTGTTTAAGAGTTTCCTCCTTAAAGGAGCTAATGAGGAACTTGGGCAAAACCACTCTAAATCACAGTGAGGGGCACAATCACAACACAAGCCTGGATCCCAGTTCTCAGCAAATGCAGGTATTTTGAGGGATATCAACACAAACACAGATACCAAAAGGGAGGCAGTAAGTCTTACAGCATAAGGACTTGACAAATCTTCAAATGCCTCAAAAATGCTTCTAAAACTAAATTAACCATCGTGAGCAGCTCTTACTATTGCAGCAACAGTGTGTTTGTAATTTCATTTTCCCTGTTAATGTATGAATAGACACAGGTTCAGTCCTGGTAAAGTTAATGGGATCATAGTGGTGACTTCAGATAGGACTGTCATTTCATCACCTTACTGATCATTAAACTACAAAGGGTCTATTAATGAAGCCTTTACCTACCTTCCATGAAAATGACTTTCTGTGGAAGCTGGAGAAGAGGAATGAAGAGTGAAAAATGCTTTTAGTTTGACTTTCACAAGCAAGGAAAGGTTGGTTATTTTTAAGTTCAGGTATCGTTTTGGTAAAAGCTACTTCAAATTCTTTCCTCTGGTAATAGGCTTATTCCATACTCAGTGACATCAATGGGATTGCTCACAGAGCATCACCTAAAAATGGTAACTCTTTATAGGGTTTAAGGAATCAAGGGCCAGTGAATTTTAAAAATTCTATTAGAGAGAGGAAGGAAAAAGGATTTAATTATACTAACTCAGAAACTCTATTAGTTCCCAATACAGCTTATTAACCCCCTATCAAATTAAGACTAATTCTGTTAGGATTGGTAACAAAGCTTAAAAGAACAGGAACAGAAATCCTGCAGGATTCCTGATTTTCCACCAGATTTAGGCAGAACAAAAAATTGTTCACTTTCTCTTGCTTTCTCTCTTACCAAGGCCCAGACTCCTCCAAAGGGTCGGAGTTCCCTCCCCTCATTCTCAGAAGACATCAGCAGTCTACACATTTGACTAACATTTTAGAAGTGAGCTAGAGCACTGTAAGTACAGAGGAATGCTAATTTAAGAAAGCAAATCTCAGAAAATGTTTCAGAGTAGCAGCACAAGTGTCCCAGTTCACAAAAATAGCATCAGCACCATTTGACAGTTTTGCCTCCTATGAAGAGAGTGAAGCTTTTGCTGCTCATCGTCTCCATAAAAAAACCCCGTGTCAATTTTTACTCAACTGTTTCCTATTTTAGCTCAGGAGGAACGTGATCTGTTTTGTTCAGTAAGACATAACAGAAATCAGTTATTTTTGCCTCACAATGAGGTATACACACATTCTGCTCTCTTTGCAGTAAGCTCCTACATCACACTGATGTCAAACATGACCTCAAGTACCAGTCATCAGCTGGGGTCTGCTGGGAACGAACGGGATCTGAATCCAGTTATCAGCCCATTCTATTTCTGCAGCAAAACGCCAGCCTGGAAACTTTACCTGATCAAAGACAGCCCTGCTCACTACCAGGCTGCTTCTTAATGCTTCCCATGCTCCTTCCAAGCCTGCACAACACCATCTCTGCTGTGAGTGGTCCCTGAAGTCAAAGATGTCCATGAACACTTGTTCATGCTCAAGAACTCAACTGCTGCTCAGATCACGAGGAGCTCATTGTTCAGGCCACCAGGGAAGGCTGAAGCTTCAGGGTTTGTCTCAGCTGCCAAGGCAAATGACACCAATGAAGAGAATAGTATGGCCAAAGCAAAACACAAATCTACACAGTGGAGTTCTAAAACACTATCAGTAATTCATAAACCGCAATTGAATTACAAGGTACTGCTGCAAGTGGTGAAGATTATTAAAACTGAAACCATATTCTATTTTTTAGGAAAGAGCTAATCTCAGGTATGCAGGATATTTGATTTTGAAGTGAAAGGCAAGAATTGTATAGTGAGAACTGTTAAGAAAACCCCTTGGATACTGTGTTTGTGAAGGGGAAGACAGGCATCACAGCTATATGAAATGTGAGAACTCTTCAGGAGGCTGCACTAAGCTGATGAATCCCTACTGCCTTCAGCAAGAAATCAAGTAATAACATGAAGGAACTATTTACACAGACTGGGGATTTTTTTTGGTGTTAACTGCAATGATGTGTCCACAAGATAACCCAGCACCTCATTCCTATCAGAAGCCCTGCTCTACAAGGACACCAAGTCAAGAGGGACTTCTTCCTGAGTATCATATTGTAAAGCAGAATCAGAACTGCAGTTATAGTTTATAGTGGTTAGGATATAGCTTATCCTCTCTTCCACTCTCCAGACCCCTGGCATTGAAGTATAAGGCAAACATAGCCCAAAAAAGCCCCACTGCAGTAAAAGGCTGAGGTCAGGATACCTGACCAAGTCACTCCATCTCACGGGATTCCCACAGGGCAGCCAGGCCACAATCACTGACTGTCCTTATGCTCTCAGGCCTGCACTAAAACAAGTTCTGACGGATGTGTTTATACCCAGTAGCATAACCATGTATCCCAAATGCACAGGGGTACAGAACTGGGATTACATTTTTATGAAAAGCCTCCCAGAATCGCACTGCAAGTGATTTTTCTAAGAGATTCTGGTGTGCATAGTTCACACCATCAAAACAGAGAAACAAGTCTGTCCTACTTGAACACTCCAGGGTGTTCACACAGCAATGAATGATGCACCTTGAATAAACCAGAACTACTCTCAAACCTATTTGGGCATTTAGGGCATTACAGTGCTAAAAAGCAACATGACCCCAGTGGTAAGAAGACAGAGTTTCAAATGTCCAAACCGGTTCTCCTGTTTTAATACAGTTTTAATGAACATCAGTCCAAGAGATCACTTGATAGTATGAGGTACATTCCTTGACCACATATGGCTGTGCTTAAGGAAAAGGACAAACATATACTTAAATTAAATAGTGTCATTTAATTTAGTAGCATTTTAATTATCATCAAGTTAAAAAAAATTATAATTAACTATTAACGTTAATGACTTGAAACCTTTCAGAAAGCATGAATCCAAAAGGAAATATCCACAGGTGGTCACAGACTTGTAGTTCTCCCACCAGCATTGCCACCTGTACCAGTCTCTTAAAGGACTACTTGTTCAGTGAGGAACTGGTCTTCAGTCTGTTACTGGAGTCTTGGCTCTGCTACTTCGCATGGTCTTCTAAGAGATACACGATTAACTCGTAGGTGGACAACACAATGGCTGTGTTTGGGATCTGCCGGATGAGCTGGGCAAAGAGTCCTCTGTAGAAGGCCAGGTAACCTTCCTCCCGTGCCACCAGCCGAGCTGTCTGGATGAAAGCCTTGTACTTGGTGCCTTCCTCCCGCAGCCGTGTCCGAATGACCTCTGCAGAGCAGGGAAACAGGGCCTGGCGTTAACAGAGCAACCCTCCCACCCTCACGGCTTCCAGCAGCCTTTGGAACTACAGAGATGGTTCTCTGCTAAGTGGGACTCCCAAATTCTCCTAGGAAAGCTGCACACAGCAGGGTTGTCATGCTAAGAGTGCACACTCGGCTTTGCTATTTCACTAATACATACTCATAGTCATTCTTTCAGCTCGAGTTCTATCCAGTCTGTCACAGTTCACACCCATGCTTTAAAAGACAATCAGCACTGAAGAGACACTGCTTTGTGTTAAACTGCTGATTCCACTCAAAGCCATCAGCAGCAGGCCAAGAGACAGAGGACTGCTGTGTGGGGAATGATCCTTCATTTTAAGAAACATGTCACTACCAGGAAAGGTCTTGTATGCAAACCCCAGAGACAGGGAAACCTTCCTGTACCAAC